AGAGCTGATAAGATAAAATCATTGACACTCCTAACGTGCGGGTGGCATGAAACTGATGCTGATATTAGCAAAAGATCAAAGAACTGTTCCAGTTGTTTGCGCAAAATGTCCTATGGGAAGTCATCGTGGAAACCATGGCCTGCGTCTTGTGAGATTTGGCAGCGTATTTATGCAGATTACTGTGGACCATTCTTAAATTCATACTATGCCTTAATCATAGTGGATTCTTATTCTAGATCACCAGAAGTCATAATTACAGATAATCCTAACGCGATATTCACTCAGAGAGCTTTGAGGAAGATTTTCAGTCTAGAAGGAATTCCAGATGTCTTAGTTACCGATAATGGTACTCATTTCACTGAGAAGAACTTCAATGATTGTCTTAAACATACAGGTTGTCGTCATATGTACACACCACCGAGTCATCCTCAGTCTAACAGTTTGGCAGAAAATTTCGTACGAGCATTAAAGAGTGGCATAGCATCAATGAGTCCTAAGCATTTTGACGAGCTAGACAGATGTGTAAATAACTTCCTAATTCATTATCGCAATGCTGAACTTACAAGTGCTCATGAAAGTCCTACTAAGCTATTCAAATCTCGAATTCTCCGAACGCATCTGATGTACATTAGTATAGAGGGAATGACTACAGACCTCCTGTTGGAACCATGCTACAAAAAGTGGGAAATCGGATGGTGAAGATATTAGACATCGAAAACTATTCAGTTCATAACAGACACCTCGATCAAGTGAAAATAAGTGAAGTAGGTCGTTCCGATTATAATCTTAATGATTCCGCTACTAATCCTGATTTTGTAGATAATTCAGAAATAAGTCCAGATGATACTGATGAAAATAATATCACAGAATCGGCCAGTAGGTCGCAGAGACTTTCAAGCAAACTGAGACCCTATTATGAATACGCAAGCAGACATTCGACATATGGCGGATGTGGTGATTGACAATTTCTATCACTGCGTTGTTTAAATGCTTACTGTTGTTAGTTAATATTTATTATATGAATTGAAATATAATTCCGCCAAATACAAATCCCTAAATTCATCCCTCTCTGTGTTGTTGGTTAATTTCCTGTGATTTAGTCATTGAGAAATACTACTATTACAAGTAATTATAACAACTTCAAATAACAACAATCTTATTCTACGCTCGAATAAGAGAAGCGAATTGACACGAACTGGTGAAAGCCTCCAGGAATCCAGTCAGCCTATGTGTATTCTCTTGATAATAGTAAGAATAAGAATGGGGAAGTGGAATGTCTTCATAATGTACGAGACTTGGAGGCTGCTCAGGTAGCCAAAGAAATGAGAAGATATTGTCTAGAAGTGCTGGATATCTGCGAGAGCAGATGGAATGGATAATGATTGTCAAAATTGTCAACCGGAAAATCGTTAGTCTACTCCGGCCCTCAGACGACAACCATGAACACACTGAGGAAGTGGCTATCACGATGACACCAGTGGCGGCCATAGCCCCAATGTAGTGGGAAACAATCCCCTCATTCAGGATCATGACAACAAGGTTCAACTCCAAATGAAGGAAGGTCACAACTATCCAATGCTACGCACACTGCTACAAACAACGCGGAACAAAAGAAGAAGGAAGATTTTTACAGACAGCTACTAACAGTAATGTACAACATCCTGAATGGTGACATCGAAATCCTCACGGGAGATATGAATGCCAAACTGGGAGCGGATAATACAGGAAGAGGACTCATCATGGGTCGAGAGGCTCTCCATTGACAAAATGAATCAGAACGGGGGAATATTCTCAGACTTCTGTGCTTTCACTGATCTGGCTACCGGATGCAGCATGTAAAAGCACAAGGATATACACACACCAACATGGATTTCGCCTGATGGACAAACCAAACGGACTTCATCTCACTGCTGCTCAAGAAGTGGAGACGCAACTAGCCTGTTGGATACAAAGTCGAGAAGGGGAGGAGATGTGGGCTCAGACCATCATCTGGTTCAAGGAACCTTCAAGGTAAAGCTGAATCCTTCAGAACAACTGGAGACAGGCCAGTGCATTTTAAGTTCAACATTCAGAAACTTAAGGACAAAACTACAAATGATTCCTTCACCACACATCAGATCAGAGCGAATTCGAGGACACTACGTCTAGGCATCACTGAGGAAACCTGAGTGGAAGAACATTGGACCTAACTCTCTGAAGGTGATGTTCCAGGAAACGTATACAACCATTTTGGGAAGAAAGAAGAGACAAGACAAGGAATGACTCTCAACCGACACCTACCTGGAAGCTAATAGAATAGAGGAGAGGGGAATGGTGAAAGAGAAGATGACGCAATGCAAGGTTGGACAATAGAAGTAGAAGCTGATTTCAATGTACGCTGCACTGAATAAAGAAGTGAAGACGAGTGTGAGGAAAGATAGAAGACGATCCTGAGACAAATTGGCAGCTGAAGCAGAACAGGCAGGTCAAAGATAAGAGAGATCTGAGGACATTATATCGCATAACCGGGTCTCTATTCAGTAAGAGATCAACCCAGGTGGAGAAACCAATAAAGTATGCTGAAGGGAACCACGTTACCAAGGAGGAGAAATAAACAGGACAATGGGCTGGTCACTTCAAAGGACTCTTGAATCCACCATCACCTACAACTCGTGTAAAATGCCATCAGCAGCCACAGAACTGCCAGTGGACACCAATCCTCTAACGAAAGCAGAAATCTTGAGATGCAAACAAGCTACTGAATGCCGGTCGGGAAGGCAGCAGGGACAGATAGAATTCCCACTGAAGCACTGAAAATGGACTCCATTACTGCAAAAGTTTTGGAAATAAGGAAAGTTGCCTACTGATTGGAATAAACGCTGGCTACCTCATCAAACTGCCAAAGAACTAGTGTGAAATCATGGTCTTGTTCACACCAAGTAAAATACTAGATGACATCAGCCTGGAGAGAATAAAGGATGTACTGAATGCTGAACTCCGCCAACCGGAACAGGCTGGATTCAGGAAAGGCAAATAATGTGCTGATCAAATTGCAATTCTAAGAATCATTATCATCACCATCCAACAAAGCATAGAAAAGCAGTCGACTACGAGAAGGCCTTCAACAGACAGCGGTGACCGAGAAGTAATTTGGAAACTTCTTCAACACTACTGCGTACCTCACGTCTTTATTAACCTCATTCAACTGCCGGCCATATGACAAAGCCACGTGTCAGTCAGGTGATCCACAAAGGAAAATTCAGCGAGGCGTTCGAAGTGCATACGGGAGTAAGCAAGGCTGGCTGTCTATTATCACTGATGATATTTTAGTTGTGGTGGACTGGATTATGCGTCGGACTGTGGGGAGCGAGGAGACAATAGTACGCTAGACCACCGATGAGAAGACTCTAGAAGATCTGGATTTAACAGAAGATATATGTCCACTGTCACATAAACGCAAAGACTTAGAGGTAGCGAAGACAAGACTCAAGGAGGACATAGAGAAGACGGAGGTAATGAAGATCACCAACCAACAGCAACAGTAAAAATGACCAGCACCAATCACCATCAACGGCAGAGATTTAACAGAGATTACCTCTTTCACTTATCTGGGAAGCATTTTTTCAACTACATATGAAGATTTCAAAGTCAGAATCGGAAAGGCAAGATACTCCTTCATCAAACTGAAACCATTTTATAAATATTCTGCTCTCATCAGTATAAACAACAAGATTTGGATTTGCAGCACTAATGTGAAGTCAGTCAGTGCTCCCATATGGGTCAGAAAAGGATTTTCAACAGACTACTGCAGATTTTTACCAACAGCTGCCCGCTTCGCTGGCTTCATACCGAAGATCAAATGGCCAGAAAGAACTGGTAACAAAAAGCTCTGGGAACAAACCGATCAAGAGCCGATAGCTCAACAAATATGTGGCAGAAAGTGGAGATGGATCAGGCATGCATCTAGGGAGCCGTCGAATGACATCGTATGCCAGGCAATGCCTAGAGGGGAATCCAGCTGGAGAGGGACAAGTGGGTCGTCCTAGGGTGACATGGAGGAGATCGTGTGGCGAGGAGAAGATGAGAAATCTTGGGCAATCGTGGACACAAGCGAAGAGGATTGCAGAAAATAGAACCAAGTGAAGATGTGTTGTTGAAGCTCTATGCTTAACTCGAAACCCGAGGGAGTAATAGTAATATAATCACTATACTCCTCAAAACATTCATTTTTAATGATCAGGACATCTCTTGCAAAATTCAGTCGCACAACATAATATATAAGGAGCATGAAACTATGATGTTTTTCACTGCAGATTAGTTATACAAATGTGTTCTATCATGAACAATGATGTTAGAAAATTCAGAGTGAAAACTATGAAGAAGTTGTGTTTTTTGATGACATCGTTGACGGACAAAATGAAAGGTTTAAAGTTTATGCACTTCATTTTCACAAGATCATTTAGTGCATTGATTGTGCGATAAAACACTATCAATGAATTTGATGATCTAGTAAAATGACAAGTCACTGACGCGTTTTGTTTAGGTGTTGCTGGTGTATTCTTAAAGTAAACTGTAACCTGAATCAAAACTAAATTTCCCGACTTTAAGTTAACAATCTTTTCAATTACTAGATTATAGCGGAATAACAATCAAATTTCAAATCTTTCGTTATATTTTTGAAAATCTTTTGAAAATTATCTTCACACCCAGAGTAATTTTAAAAAGGAATCACAATTAGGTCAACGTAATATTTTATCATGAAACTGAAGAAAGTTTAGAAGAATAGTTCTGAACAAAAGTGGACAGAAGGAAAGTAGAAAGCAAAAGAGCAAATGCATTCCTATTTCTTTGTGTTAAGATAAATAATTAAACTTAGAAGAAAATATTTTTATTGTTGCCTACTTTCGGTCCATATATGGGTCAATATAATTTAGTGATACTTATTTTAAGATCAGTTTCACCTCAAAAACTTGTACTGGACATCGAATATTCACCTTGCGCGTACGTGCATTTAGATCGCGTCAAATCCCATCCACTTCAAAATCACTGAAAGCACTGGCACTTTTATCAATAGCTTCTTCTCTCGGACTGTTTAATGTAGAGTTATTTGGTTGACTACAAGTAGAATCTAGCCATTCCTTGACATGTTCTGTTGATGATGATGAGATTTTATTCAATTCATTCAGATTGTTTTTTAGGCGAGCTTCAGATATTTGAAGAGATCTTTCTAATTCGGCTGTAGACATTTCTTCAATTTTGTTGTTATTTACCGAAATACCCGATTCATCATCCTAAAATGGAAAAAATACTGATTAATCATATATAATTGATCAGGTAATAAAAGAATGATCTAATATAGAAACAAAGTTAATTGGACAGCAACTAAATTAAGATTGAGTTAGTAAGTTAGATGACGTAATACTCAATCTTAATTTAGTTGCTGTCCAATTAACTTTGTTTCTATATTAGATCATTCTTTTATTACCTGATCAATTATCTAATTTTGACAAACCTCATGTACACACACACACACTCAAATAATCATATATAAACCTCAGCAGAAGTATAAAGTTTTCTAAGCCATGATTATGACGTTCTGATGGAAGTTGTAACTGATTGTCTGCTTTTATGGAGAAAATTTCCATTTTGTGAACAACACACCTTGAAATCTATGCTGTATGCTCACTAGCCAACCAATACTTAGTTCAGAAAATAAAGACAAACTGTCTTGTTTTGCCTCTTCCATGTGTATTTACCAGTCTAACTGCTTGTGCGGAGCTAGTTACATTCAGTGTAAGATGAGATAAGTTCATCGTCGAATTTCTGAACACCTGCAATCTTGTTTTGGCAAAAGTCACAATAAAGCTACACACAGCTCAATACTAGCTCATCTCGTCGATACTGACTGGACATCAAGTCGATTCCAACAAAGCTTTTAATGTTATTTATCGTATTTCACTCAACCTCTCGCATGGTCTACGAGTGCGACTTGTGCATGCAGCAGAGGCAGTCGGAATTCATCTGAACAAGTCAAATTTGTTTGTTCAAAAGAAATTTGTACAGCTCCTTTCTTTGCCATGACCAACTTCTTCCTCTACGTCGTCTTATTCTTCTCAGTAATCATTATTTTACAAATTTCTTGATTACGTAATAAATTGGTGCTAACGCCTACGAATTAACTTATCATCGAAAATACCCATTGGGTCATGAAGAAAATAAAAGACAGATTCAGTGGAAAATTTTTTCTTTATCGACGAAATCATTTTCAAAGGCTGTACAGTCGTATTTATACTTACAAAAATATATAGTGGTCTATTATTGAGTAATAGGGGGTGACATAATTGATATAATTATTCATAAGTGGGTTTAGAGGTGAAAATTAAAAGTTGTAAATTACGTGGTACTCAACGGCACGAAGATAAAAATTTGATAAGGTTAAAATTACTCTTGAGTGAGAATAAAGGTATTTGAGTGTCAATTTAACTTATCTTGAATTTCGTAATCAATTTTCACTCCTCATTCAAAACTTAGATATCTCGTTATTAACACCTATTAGTTAATTGTTTTGATGACTTTTAACCTTTTAATTTCATCCCCTTATACTTAAAACTGTTTTACTAGTAAGTAGTTGAACTAAAATTAGTTGTGTTCTTTGAGCTCAGGGAATACAACTAATTTTAAATAATCTACGTGAGCTACAAATCTACTTTATTATTCCAAGTAGTTGAACTGTTTATTTTTAAAGTTCAGAACAGGGACCAATCGTTAATTGGGTTTACAAGAACTTATATGAATGACTTTGGTAGCCTCCAACAGAGGGTCATGTTTGGGTAGCCCAATATGGATTTTAATTTCATAACGATGATTGTAGTTATTTTGCCAGGGAGGTCATACTAAAATTGTGTTTGTAAATACAGGAAGTAATCAGAAATCGTTCATTCACCGTTTTTTAGATAAACGTGTATCAGAATATCTATGCGCTATACACACTAATGTGGCACAGAAAAAATTGAATAAAGAAAACGCTGCTAACACCATGAATAAAAAATCACTGCAACTCAAAGAAAACATCAGAGACGTTGAAATTATCTGTAAACACTAAATGCCTTTAGTAGTATTTTGAAACCTTGAAGGGTATATGGAATTCTCTTTCGTAAATAAATCTTCTAATTTCTTACGATGTTAAGAAATAAATTTATCATAATTTTTGAGAGCTTAAAGCTAATGAAGGTGGTAGTAAATTAAAAGTAATCGTCTAAGAACTATGTTAAATAACTTAAGCACCAGTCATGCGAGATGGGATAATCGCAAGTATATAGCGAATTCGTTAACGTTTATTCATTAAAGAAACCAGGCGTCAGAAATAGCATCCATTCTACCTAACGGCTCAGGGGTATTTGGAAATTGGTATTGATCCATATTTTTGCAGATTGATTCGGGAATGTACACTCATGAAGTGGAAATTTAGATTTTGGTGAAACGCTAACGTTTCTCAGGACAGTTAAATTCTACTGAGGGGAATTAAACAAAGGTTACAGCTATTTTTAAGAGAATCCTCTAAGTCAACCACCGACTTTTATAGAATAATGAATGTCCCTAGGAGTGCATACCCTGTCGCTCGCTCCACTTATTCACTAATGTGACATAGAAATAAACACTTTGAGCCATTTCAAAAGTGTTTTCGTTTATTATGCGTTGGTTTTCGATTGAATTCTGCTTTGAGAATTCTCACCTAACAAGTTTCAATAAGATTAAATCATAATAGTGTAAAATTAGTAACTTTAACTGGTTTTACGAGTTACTTACTTACTAGCGCTTAGATTTCAAGTGATGAATCACTTTGTAGTTTCATTAAGTCCTATATACATAAGGTATACCTTACTTATTCTTTCGGAAACTACTATGGGTATCTGAATGACTAATCAGACTATTTTACTACTTCGAAGCGTCATTACTGTTAATTTCCCCATTTAATCCTTTTGGCAATTTTGTTTTATGCGTAAATTTCGTTAATGCTTACAACAGTCAGATTTTATATTCTGGAGCCGTGATATGAATGCAGATAATTTTTCAAAATCATCTTTCAACGGTTTACGACTGTAGACTGAAAACTTAGTGGAGAATTTCGGTTCATAAAGTCTGTCAAAGAATCAAAAATGCAGCCTTACATCTAATCATACAACATTATGTAGCTGAAAAACGAACAGTGTTTGAAGAAATATTGTGTTTCTTGATATGCGTAGGAGAGGCATTGACTTACCAATTTTATTATCTGGCTAGTGTCAGTCTGTATGGACATCTACCTTTTCAACCTGTAGATGTCAGGTTTAATCACTAATAAAGTCTTTTGCTGACACTGCCGATTTGGAGAAATTTTATTTGTAAATTTAACTAAATTTATAAATCATATTATAACTAACGAAAACGGGACTAAGACCTTATTCTTCGTGGTTTTTGATTGTTTTCTAATTACTTTGGTTCAGCAATGAAATCAGTTAAATTTATCAAACATTAACGTGTGCATTATTGTATCTGTATATAGATTCACTTTGGGGTCTTTAGGAGTTCAGAAGATTCAACATCTTACCATGTAAGCAGTGAAGCGTAGTTTCTAAGATGAAATATTTGTTCTAACCTATTAACAATTCAGTTTCTAGTAACGACATTCTTCTGCTATAAGAGGAACTAGTGCTAACGTCAAGTTCAGTTTCATAGTCTCACATACCTACAAATTGCATTGAATAATGTTTATGGTAAATATTCAAGCCAGTTTACATCATTACAGTCCGAAACATTAGATGCAGAATTTACAATGAAAACGATAAATATCTGATACCTTAAAAATCACCCAACATCATCGTGTTCAAAACTTTTATTTGACTTTCACTTGAAGTCATCTTCTGGTATCAGTTAATGTTGTTGTTGGTTTGAGTGACACTTTCTAATCCTATATTAGTTTGTGCAGCAGGATTGTATCATGAACAGTTTAAAATAGGGCGTGGTTCATAATTTATCTCGATAAGTCTCTGTAGTTACTTGATTACATCGTTTTTGTAAAAATTATTTACTTTTCCGGTGATATTTCCTATCATAACTGCAGACAGACTACTTAAAGGAGTATTGATTGTCAAATTTTATATATGTTATGACATTCAAATTCTTCCTTTCAGATATCACAAGAACTCATTTATAGAGAAAAACAGTGTAAGTCACGCTATTTACTATTAGATACAAGTGAATTAGAAATCCTTTACACTTTCAGGTTTCTTTGGAGAATATTTTACATATTCTTGAAGAGCGTATAATAAAAAGTTCAAGAAATCGATAATGGTAAATTAATGTGTACCCCAACAGTTAACTTAAATGAGCTTCTGTCACACTAATGTTTGTGGATGTTTGTCAAAACGTTTGAATCCAGTTCTATGTGGTAAGTATTTATAGGAGGGTAGGAACTAGAAATAACGCGGAAAGGGGGAGATCAGTGGGTAAATTAAAGGAGAAAATTGTTTCGACGTGGGGAAATATGGGGGCATTGAGGGGAGGGAGATCGTATTCACCGTTATTTACCCTCTATTGTCCCACTGCCCTTCCCAATTATTTCCTTCTTTCCACCCTTTTTCCCCATTATGGTCACAAATTGCACTGGTAGGGGGCCAGACAGCATTTTTCATGACGTTACTACTGATTAAAACAATATATGTAGTACATAACAATAGCTTTATTCTGGACAGTGTTTACACAATGTGCAGAATTTTCAGCGGAATCTATTGCACAATATTTCTTCCTCATTCAGGATCTCCAGGTAGAATAGCAATTGACAGCAAATTTTATGACAAAATGCTGTCTAACCAGAAGCACAAACCAATCTCCTTTGATATTTCTTCCTTGTCTTCCGAGGAATGCACATTTGGCTGAAAGCCAATTACGAAAATTTCAGGAGTACCTTCTGAGATCCAGGGACACAACTAGAAGCTTTTTATTTACATTTCAGGCAGCGCCATTTTATACTAAAAATCCCAGGAACATTTATGTCATGTACAGTGATACTTTGCCACTCACGATTATGCTTTTCCTGATATTGTAAACATTTTGAACACTCGCGGCAGTAGACAATACCGCCGTAATGTAAAGAAAAGCAACCTAAGTATACGACTCGTCATGTGACATTGAAATAAGCGGTCAAAGTGCGCATCAGTTCGGGAAATGAGATCACCAGTGTCGACTTCCATTCATGGATTACGGTGCTAGTATTATTCTGATTGCATTACTATATTACATTCACTTTTCTCAC